CCATTCTGAGCATTGCTTTAATGGTGCTCTGACCACAGCTTCACTAACCACTGCCCACCATGACACAAAGGCTACTTTACGGGGCAGCCCCTACCTAGACATCTGCTCAGTGACTTGCCAACATCTCCGCCTGAAAATTAGGTTTCTGGGCTAAATGCGGGTGGGGGGATGGGATGGAACTCCTGTATCATTTCCACCAACTAACATAGAAACAGAAACAGAGCAAGTCAGAAGGGGTCTCCCGGGCCATCTAGTCTGACCTCCGGAAGGAAGACAGACCATTTGGAAGGTAGACCAAAGAAGAAGCTGAAAATGGACTATCTGCCTCTCTCCTGACCTCCCTACACCTGATACACAGTAAGTGGCATATAGTTTGTCCCTGGAGCTTTTTGCTGTTTTACAGAAGTAGGGGAGGCTGAAAGCTAAAGAAAAAGATCTGTCCCTAAGTGATGTTTTTGCCCCACATGGCAAAAGAAACTGGGAGGGGAGATATTTAGTTCAAAAATAGCATGAGAGCAAAAGGTTAATACATGGACATGGATACATGGACACACACACAGTCTGCTTCAGTATACCCGGCATAATTGCTGATACTGGTTGGCAAGTGACTTTTCTATAATTAGGCACTGTTCTTTATATTGGCTTACCACTCCCACGCCATCAAAACCACCCAAACCACTTTGGGCATGTTCTGAATGGGAGGTTTTGGCATCCAACCCATTTCCAGTCTTTTCCTGACTGTGCTTAGTTGAATTGTTTCTTTTCACTGTGTTTATTTTTGTTGTTGTTGTAATCATGTATTAAGTTTATTTAACAGTAATTTTTAATATTTGTATATGCAAAGAGTTCAGAACAGTTCACAATATTAACAATGATAATTATCTGAATCTGGTACTCTTCTGGGTGTGTATACTACACAATCAACAAGTTTATCCTAATCCCATCCCTCTTCTCAACATTTTATAGTAGCGTCTCAGTAGAATAAAGACATTACAATAGGAAGAAACACTCTATGCCAGGCCAGAATGAATAATTCACCTTGCCAAAAAACATCCTTAAAGGAAATGGTATGAGAACAAAGAAGGAATCTTGTAGACTTAGACGTAGGCTGTGATTTGCTTAAGAGACACTTCCTTCTTGAAGAGCAGTTAGCCAGTGGAACAAGCCAGGAATGGGCAAAGAGGGAAGCTATGCTCTATTAGAGGACACTGCAAGGTAATTAAGGTATCAGGCCCACCCCCTCTCTTCTTGTGTTCTCTTCATGATGTCTTGCAGCTCCTTCCCACATCATGAAGGCAATGTTAGACGTCAACGGCCATATATGGGAGAAACTACAACTTGGGTTCTCCTATTGGCAGGCTGTTTAGCATAAAAGCCTGAGAGAAGGTTCAACTGAGTTTTGACTTAAAGAAGGTCAGCCTGACTTCCTGCATTTGTGCAAGCCTGGAGGGGATGGATCTTGCACCCATTCCAGCTGGCAGGGTTTAATGAAATTATGACCAAAGCACAATTTAATTAATAGTTGAAATGGGGACAATGATTGACAGTGCATGAAGGGAGATAAACAAGGCTTAATCCTGTGACAATTTATCCTGTCTTCTGAATAATCTTTCCCTTCAAACTGAAGCTTCCAACCACTTTTTGCCCACTCTTTTGTCAGGTGATTGCAGGAATGTCTGTAGAAATTAGATTTGTTGGAAGCCTGGCTCTTTAGTGCAGCCTTGACTTGATTAACCAATGGGAAGGCCAGTGTCCATCTGTGGTTCCCCTTGTTTCCTCTTGAGGACCCACATTCTGTGTACTTGTTAAAATCTCTTATGCTATTTGAACAATACAGAAGATAATCTGGAGTCTCTGAGAAGTCAAGCATTCACAAGATCTGGAACAGGAGACAGGGAAACACAGAGAGTGACATAAAAGGGGCTTGAAATTAGTGTTCTGACTTTAACACAGTCATTCTTCCCTTCTCGCTAGCCATTGTGAGTTCGTGCAATAACTAGCTGCTGTGATTCTCCTGTATCTATAGTCAAGTCACTGTAGGAATACTGTGTCTCCCTGGCCTCACTAAACTTTCAATCATGTCCCAAGGAGCCCTAAGGCCAGCTTTGCCTAGCCCCATGTTTCTCAGCTGCCACAGCCAACTCATCTGGGTCTAAATTCCCCCAGGCATGTCCACAGCCTGACCATTTGTGCACTACAGGCCTCTGCTGGGATACCAAGTGAACCTGTGAGCGAATTTTTGCTACTTTTCAAGTCCTGCACTTGAATCTCTGTTCATACATAGCCTTATCTACTTAGAACAGTTAAAGACTGGTTTTGGTATAAACATTGATTAATTCCATCCTGAAGTTCACAGACTGTCTAATAGCAATAAGTTAATCCCCCCAAACAACTACTGAATACATTTTCATACCTGTGTGTTCAGTTAATAACCCCCTTTTGAAATAGACATTGGTGTGTGAAATCTGCCAGGGCATGCTATGACCAAAATTAAAAGATACCCTAGGAAAGTGTGTCCTGGCACAGGATCCTGCAAATCCATACATACATGTAGCAAGAGAACATTTCTTAACACTTCCCAATATCAATTTCCTGGAAACTGTAGCATTATTATGGTGATGAGCTACAGCATGAAGTCGCCAAGGGCTTCCGACATTACCCGAGTGGCACAGGAAGTATCCATGCTGCAATGGTTCCAGTGTTGCAAAGATATCATGAGAATGTAGCATAAAAGTGAACTGGGTAAGAAAACTAATTACTGATTGTAGTTTGCCTTACACGTGGTAGATTTCATGTTCATAGATGCTGTGACGGGGCTAAATTAAGCCATTAGCTTTGGCAGCTTTTAAAAGGGTTTGATGGATTTATGGATAATGCTATCAATAGTATTGGTCAAGATGGTGAGACAGAGTCACCAAAAGTACAGTTCCTCTGAATCTCAGATGCCAGAAGCAAAAGAACAGGAACAGCTGTCACTTTCATGTTCCCCTTATTCATTCCCTATGAAATCTGGTGGGATCTGTTGCAAAAAAGACTGCTGCACTAGATGGTTCCTGGGTTCTGTCTAGCAATGTTCTTCTTACATTTGTCTTATGTTACAGATAGATCCAAGTGAAATAATGAAGAACCTCAGCTGAGTGGTAGAACCCATCCATAGCATGCAGAATGTCCTGAGTTTAATTCCTGATACTTCAATTCTCAGTAACAACGACTAACAGAAAGTAGAAAAGACCAAGAATCAGGTGATAGGAATGACCTCTGCTTAAGACCTTCAAGAGCTGCAGCCAGTCAGAGCAAACATTACTAGGCTAGATGAACTAATGCCCTAACCTGATATAAGAGCATCTTACTGTACTCTTAAAGGGAAAAACATTTTCTTCAAAAACACCTGAGCTTTAAAAGCTGGAACTAGTACTGACCTTTCTACACTTTGACAGGAATTCACAAAAGGTTAGAAGGAAGTGCTGCCCATCTCTTCATTTAATATTTTGGTTGGCTTCTAAAATGCCATCATTAGCAGCTTTTTAATTGCAATTGTTGTCTATGAATTCACCAGTGAAACAAGATTCTTTACAGTGCTACAGTATTAAGGTCTTTAAAGTTAAATCATGCCAGTGCAGATGTTCCTAATTATCCCAAAAGCACAAATACTTACAGAAACCGGTTGGTTCCAGCTGCAGAATAATTCAATTAAAGGAGCACTTATAATTGTCGATGCATGAATGAGAACTTAGGCTAGCTGTTAGGAAATCTATAAAAGGGCAACTATTATACAGTGTTTGTGTCTGGATGATCTATAATCCCTTTTCAAAAAGGGGACTACATGCAGGATTTGCACAAATAACCTGGCAGAAAACTTCATTTCTCCAGGAACAAAATTAAACCATTTTGTACTTTTCACCTGCAAAAACAGCCAGCTGTATAAGTCAGGGGGAGGCTTCTTCTTAACTACCACAGCCAAGTTGGAGTGGAGCTCCCCCCTGCTTCATACTATAGCTTTGAAAGATGACACAGATAAAGTGCATCTCTTAAGACGAACAGATAGGACCTCAGCCCTAGCAAAGGTAGCAGGAAAGGGGGGTTTATGCACCTTTGCGGCTTTTTAGTTGCAATTTTCAAGGAAGTGGTGAGAAATGCTACCATGCATTCTTTTCTGCACCATTTCTCTCATTCATGGATTTTTATGGGAAAGGAGAAAGGTACTTTCTAAAGGTGAAAAGCCAGATCTTCATACCAAAGCAAAACTAAGCATTTATATGTCACTTTGTAGCATTCAAAATACTTCCTATCCATTATTTTTATATCATCCTTACATCGATCCTGTAAAATAGTTCACTACAACTGTGCTGTTCTCCTGATGCTGTTGCATAGTACAGTATATCTACCGCTATCAAAGGCAGGTAAAAGCAGTTAATTATAAAAAGTTTATTACACACCCCACTGAACATGGTGGTACTTACTTGCATGCAAAGGAGGACAATGAAAACTTCATAAGCAAAAATTTTCCAGAAAATAGTGGTTAACTTGTCAGTGGGTTGAAAGATAAACGATTGTTCTTGCATACAACATTTAACTGTGTGCCTTTTATAAAACAGATTATAATCTCTCTATATACACACACATGCACAGAGTCAAATGTACTGCTTTTAGTGTCTGTTTGCATGTTAAAGAGGAATATTGTTGGGCATCCCCGAGTCCTATATGCTCAAGACAAGAAATGCCCATTTATTTCAGCAACAGTAATTCTGAAATTCTGTGCTCCCCCACATGGGAGTAAGCCCCATTGAACACAATGCGATTTAGTTCTCGAGTAAATTTGTACAGGATCATGCTGTAAGTTACACATAATCGGTCCAGGAAGGAGAAAGGGAGGGGCTACCAATTTCCATCCATAATCAACGGAAAGAAGTGAGGAGGTGAAGAGGATTAATAGCTGCAAGAAGAGCAGTTCAGCTCAAGCAGTACAATACCAGCCAACAGGGCAATTTCCAGCACAGTACCTTGTGTCACCTGTTGAATTGCCAGCATCATCCCAGAAACTGTATCAGGCATCAGGTCTGATCTCCAGTTGTAGTTTGGTGCCCAGTCCAAAATAGGAAGCCTCCTTACACACCACAGTTTGAAGTCTTCATAGCGAAGGGCATGGATCTTCCTCCATATGGCATTTTCCTTTTTTCTCTTTGTCCCTGTCATGTTTTAGCCTCTTCCCTTTATACAGTTCCTTCTTCTGTAGTGAGAGGAGGAAGAGAAACACCTCTATAAAAGTGTAGCAAATTGATGTGAAATTCAACAGACTTTTCTTTCACCTTGAAGCTTCAGATCTATAAGAGAAGGACAGGCTTGCTTTCTATGTCACAGGCTTGCTAGTAAGTATGTTTCTTTTCAACCATGCAAACATCTAAAGACTCTGCATGTTCAGCACAATATTTCTCTGCCCTAGTCAGAAATGTGATCTAGCTTTATGACAGTTTATGATTCTCTTTGCAGTCATTCTCCTCCTTATATTCAGTGTAGTGTTTGTAATTTTGGCCTGGATCCAGCATTAAAATGAGGTAGTGCTGGGCGTGTGTTTGGTGTGGGATGGGCTATGCTAATACAATCAGGAAGTGCCCAGCTAGACAAGAGTCTCCTTGCCAACAATAAAAAGAAGAGTGTCTGTCTTTGTGTGAGAGAGAAGGGAAGTACTCTCTCTCCCCCCCTTCTCTCTCTCACTGGATAAAGACTTATAAGTGCATAAAAAAGTACTCTGAATCTCTGATGCTAGCAAATATCTTCTGTACATTAAGCTAAATCCAACGTCTCCAGACTTTTCTTCTTTCTTCCTGTAATGCAATACTTTAATTAGAGCATTCATTTCTGAACTAGGAGCTTGTGGATTGGGCTGCTGGGACTCACCGTTGTCACAGTCAGTTCTGCTGAAAACAACAGGCTGGTCTTGCAGGTAAACTGGCAGAGCGGCGTAGTGGCAAGAGGCACAATAGAACCTTGTGGTTCCTTTAAGAAAGGCTTTATAAACAAAAATTATTTTATGGCTGGCAGGATATAACAGGCATGGCATGAAGCTAAAAAGTATTGCTGACAATTTGCTGTTAATGAAGAAGCGACTGTGGCTTCCTTATCCCAAGCCAGGTTGTGTGAAAATCTAAACCAGTGTCCTCTATTCTGAGTCTCTGCCTGTCAGGTCTTTCCCATTCCTCCCTACCTGATGCTTTTAACTGAAAACATGGGGCCAAACCTAGGACTTCTGCCGGCAAAGCCACCGCTGTGCTCCACCCTCTACACTCATCTGGTTTTTAAGTGTTGTACCTAAGATTTTTCAAGGGCACAGCTTATTATTTATATACCACCCCATAACTATTTACATATTAATATATGTTAATATGTAAATACAATGGAGAGGTATTTGAAAAGACAAGTGTTTAGGGAACTGAGATCAAACCCTGCTCTGCTGCTGAGTGATGCACGTAATTCACCATGGGGTATATGGAACAAAGTTGATGACCCATATTTTCGCTCCTTACAGCATTGGCTATAACTTTGGACATTATGCTTTCCCAGGACATTGTCCATCAATGAATTTTTATTGGTCTTGGAGGGGTACGTCTGCATGCATGTGTGCACACACATATGTAAACTGGGTACAGTTTACACATACGCACAGTTTAGAGAAAATAAGGAGATTTCCTTAGTGCTGTGTGGGAAGGAGAGTGGATTGCTAAGCAGTGTGTGCTCAGCTGGGCATGGGGTGAAGGCAAAGCACAACTGATGTTGGCTCTTCAGCCACCCTGGACATCATCAGCAAGGCTACACCTCTTTACGATGGCTGGGCTGGAGGGGATCTGTCCCCAGGAGGGAACCTGATTCTCCACCCCTGCTCTATGAGGTGAAGACCCATATATTACGTACAAACCAATTCTCATCCATGCCACATTCCAGCTTCGTTGTCCCTTTCCATAAAAAGTATATATAAACTTATGCATGATAAGGAGACATTTTTCTCCTTCCCCCATAATGCTGGAACCTCTGGTCCCACTGGTGGGAGATTCAAGATACGTCTTAAGACAGTGCATAATGGAACAATGGAACTCACTTCCACAAGAAGTAATGATAGCCACCAATTTGGATGGCTTTAAAGGGGGATTTGATAAATTCATGGAGGATAAAACTATCGATGGCTATTTGTCTTGATGACTATATGCTACTTCCAGGGCTGAGGCACTGTGCTCATGTATACAAATTGCTGTGGAGCATGTGAAGGAGGGTGCTGTGGCTTTCACATCCTGCCTGTGGGTTTTCTGTAGGCAGCTGGTTGGCCACTGTGTAAACTGAATGCTGGATTAGACGGAGATTCGTTCGGATCTAGAATACCCCTTAGTGTATTCTTATTGTTCCGCTAAATTACAGCTTAAAATGTTTGCAAACCCAGCAGCAGGAAGGTCTTTATTTGCCAGCATTCATATTGAATAAGAATGTTAGCTCTTTCTGGTTGTACATGAACCCATGGCTGCCACTAACACTGGATGGACTGACTCCAAGGTGGCAAATATATCTGAAACTCTCATAAGCAACCTAATCTCTTGTAGACATCTTCCTCAACATTTGAAATTGTCAGCGCAAAATAAAACTGAGATGTGCTTCAAAATCCTTACTGGCAGTCCCAGTTTTTTTCCCATCTACTTGAAACCATTTAAGTCTGAAATGTATATTTTGATCTGCTGATTTTTCAAACAAAATGGTCAAATGAGTAAGACAGCCTTAAAAATGCTTCATTTGAAAGACAATCCAAATATATTATGGATGCACACTGCAGATTGCTTTGGTCAGTTCCACCTGTACAGAATAATTTATGTAGGATTACATACTCCAAAACCCAGTGACTTTAATGAACCCTGCATAGGGTTCCAAGGAACTCAAATATACATGCATCTACAGCTCACTAAAAACCTTCTTCACTACTATTTCATTTCTATTCTGCCCATTACCCAAAATAAACCCACATGATAGTTTATTCAGCTATAAGCCCACACCTTGACAAAGTTTAATATTTGGCAGTACAAAGTGAACTGTTCTGTCCTACAGTATCTGGACTAATGATATCCTACATTAGATGACAACAATGAGCCCATTTATCATAAGAACAATGGTGTGTGGGCAGATGATGCAGCTATTACCGAAGATAAGCAGGAATGGATGAAGAACACCCAATGTCTGGATGGAAAACACTTATAGATCCCATGCTGAACTCCAAAAATGGCAAGTGGAATCTGAACATAATGTATAATCAGACCTACACATACCCCGAAAAATATTGGCTGTCTCAACACCTGTTGAAAGCCAGAATGCTCTACTTAAAAGCAAATGCGGTATAGAGATTAGAATGCTGGACTCGGATGCAGGAGATCCAGGTTCTAGTGCCCACTCAGCCACGAAATTTAACTGGGTGACTCTGGGCCAGTCACAGATTCTCAGTCCCGCCTATCTGACAGGGCTGTTGTAAGGACAAAATGGACAAGAGAAGTATTATGTAAGCTGCCTTGAGTTCCTTGCAAAAAAGAAAGGCAGGATATGATTATAATTAGTAATAGTGGCATCTCTGATTGGTGGCAGGAAACTTTAGATAGCCTTCCCACCTTTGTACTCTTCAGATGTTTTGGATTACAGCTCCCAGGATTCCCAACGATTGGCTATGCTGGACTATTGGAAGTTGAAGTCCCAAATATCCACAGGGCACAAAATTAGGGTAGGCTGCCTTGTGTGACAGGCATATAAACATGGATCTTGCAAAGCCCTAATTGGAGACCCTAATTTATCATTGTATGGACATATGGATATGGTGTGATAAATTCATAACCCTGTTATTATATACCAGGAACTTTAAAGACACCCAGTGCAGAGCACAAGACAGGGAGATTGCTGCCATTACAATGGAAAAATTGGGATCCATGGACCATTGTAATGTAGATAATCAAAGATCCAGAGCACCTGGCATGGAAGTTAATCTAGGCTTAATAAGTACTGCTGGATCTGTATAGAATTCTAAAGATACAGTTTGTGCCCACTGTGTCTTATTTTACAGCTGTTTTATTTGCTCTCTACCACTGCTCCTACTGGCAATTTATACTATTATGTTTTCTATTCTCTAAATATCTTTAATGCCTAGTGATTGTTCTTGAACTCACTTTACCTGTTCCAGGTGCTCAGATGAAACCTTACTGAAAATATGACTCTAATATAAATGCCCAGGTATTTAAATATCACATATTTTATTATGGCTTCAAATAGGGATATAACAGCATTCCTGTGAAAAGTATACAGTATGCATTTGTGGCTCATGGAAACCATCTGACAACAAAGGGCTAGTCAAGTAATCCATAGTGTGTAAACTCATTAAGGATTTTCTCCCCCATCCCACTGGGTAATGCATAACGCTGTTGCTAATCTTCACTATACAACAGAGTCATTCATCTTATTCTATCCTGAGCTAATTTTACAATAAACCTTTCTTTGCTGAAGGGGAAAAGAATGGCTCCCTGAATTCCAAATCTTGTGTTGCAAAGTAAAAGATTTCACTGAAGCCTGCAAGTTCAGGTTAAGAAACAGACCATAGAGTCAAAATTCATGGAGAATCTGAACTGTTCTCATGCACGTGCCTGCCAGACAGAGCTATCCCATAGTGTCATATACCTTCTGCAATTTTATTTGGACAGAGAGGAATTATACATCTATGCTTGCAACAGAATTTAGGCTTCCTGTTGAAAATCATTCCTCAAATGGTATCTTAATGCCTCACATCAAAGTAAGTTTAACTCAGATTCATCAGAAGTGAGCCATCACACACCCTGCTCCAAGTTTTATACCTGCAACATTTGGTTGATGCATGCATTTTCATTTTGTGACTATAATTGCTTTGCAGTTCTTTGCATATGTGGAAGAGCGAACAAAGACAGAACTCAACTGTTGTATGTATCTCTTTACATCACCCTAAAAGTGCTTCACTTCTAGTGCAGTAAATTTACACACGTGAGTCGCTGAGATCCTTTAGAGCTGCTCAGCCTGAGTAGAGTGAATGTGCAGGGAACAGGCACCGTAGTGGGGCAGGTTCTGCCAACTGATTCACTTCATCTGAATGAATCACATCTCACATTGATCAATTCTACAGAGGCCTGCCCCAACCTCCACTGAATTTGCCAGGGCAGTTTGATTTTGCAAACAAAACAAAACAAAACA